GGTTGATACTATCAGATAACTTTGAAAAGAATATCCGATGTTATAATGAGAAGCTACGACAAATGACGTTTTAAATATTGTGACAGTGAAAGTGTATCACAAATTTGATTGAATTGATTTCATCAGATTTTGATACAATGATTATCTAGTATCCTATTCGCTGAGAAAAATGAATACTCTAAAGATACTTGAATGTAGGTTTTTCGATGAAAAGTGTTTGGACGTTTCAAACTAAATGTTTAATGTTTCCTGGTTTATAATGATTCTTTAACTGCTGGTGATGATAACTTATCTTCATTTTATATGTAGACACCGTCAAATAACTAGGCCATTACTCATTCGTTATCATCTACCACTGTAATTCATTGACCTTGAATATCTTCAACAAAAATATGTTAAGTCTCACAGAATTAAGGAATATTTAAGACCGATTTGGAGCTACAGATTATAACGATCGATTTATTTACAAGTCTTCAACCTCCAGTTATTTGTTAAGTTTTTGATTGAGATCATGAATCGATTGATATAAGACCACCATGGAAAACCTGGAAACATTGGACGGCCGTTTCATCCTAGTATGGGACTCTTCATCAGAGCCCATCTACGACCTCACTCGCGGGAATCAAATCCAGGATCCTTGATCGCGCACACAAACGCCTAACCTCTAGACCACTGAGCTGACATCCAACAATGTTATTGTTTGAATTCGATCGATTCATGATCTTGAGCAACCTATCATCCAATGTTTGAAGTGAATAACCGTCTCCATCCAACACGGGTTGAACTCCACTGATTATGGCTTCTCACTAGAACTTCAAGAAATTCACATTGAGTCTCATGAGTGAGCACTGCTAGGGTGTTTCATACTAGGTTAGGTGTTCGAGCGAGACAAACGACCTTGGGTTCAAGTTTAGCGTGAGGGATTATGGATGTGCACTGTCGAGGAGCTCCATATTAGAACAAAACTGTAGTCTAGTGCTTCCAAGTTTTCAATGATGATCTAGTTTAGATCATCTCATGAATTCAACTATTAAAATTTAATTATATGTTGGATGTCTACAATTTATTTAATCATTAATTGTATTTTTATTCATTTTTGGTTAAAGTTCAATGAAGAATGACCACATTTTCAAATCAATGTTTTATTTATTTATTTCAATTATGTACGTTCTAAGTGTTGTCTTTGTTAGTCTTAATTCTCTATTTGAACATTTGTAAATGTTAAATATATATCGTTCCCGTCAGAAAAAAAAAGAAATCAGATTAGAAATGGGAAATAATTTATGCAAAATAACTGAAGTATTTGAAATAACTACTTAAATGATCAACTTCAAGTAGTATTTGATTGTTCAGATAATTGATAATCATATATGGAATTAAAAGAAGAAATTTTTTTTTTGTCATATTCAATATTAATTCAAAGGGATTTGAAGTTGGTTAGAAAGAAATTCTGAATTTAGATTTCGCGCTTTGTGATAATTGCAAGCAATATATGTATATGAAATGTTAAGAGAACCGATGTCTTCAGTTGGATTTAAACCCAGGTTACTTAACTTCATAAATTCAGATATTATTATGAACCTATTCGGGTTACAATTGGTTTCCTGTAGGTTTGATATATTCATAGCAGATTGATGACTGAGTCATGATTAATATCGTGTTTGTCCAGTCTGTTGATAGGGTTTTTCTATCAACTATCACTCAACATTTTACATGGAAACATATTTTACCTAATGATGAGTTATTTGGACCATTGGGTGCAATGCAGTTCAGTCAGATTTACAGACTAGACAAGCATGACATCAGTTACCAGTCAGATAAACATCAATGCAATTAGTTTATTGTTTCACATTTAATTGTACAAAGCTATACTAATTCAATGACAGGAAGTAAATATATCATCATTATGATAAGAATAATATAATAAGTGCCTAACTTGGGACCGAACTAGTTGATCGTGAAGACTGACCATATAACGTTACAGATATTAATGATTAAAGTTTAGGTGTCAGTTAGCTTTGACCCATGATGAAGAGCTAATTATGAAAGGAAATATACTTTTGTCCCAAAGTAAAAATAATCTGTACAGGGGCGACCATACCTATATAAACTAAACTTGTTGCATTTCTTTAGTAAAGCATACATGCGCATAATCACATGGGCACACAATCTCAACCCGATACTAGTCTGCATTCAACTATTTCAACGATCTGTTAGTGAACACATCCAACACAAAACTATTCAACCAGAAATTCAATTTTCTTTAATAACATTCAGTAATTTATTAATATAACATAGTTTATAAATCATTATTTTCAGTATAGGATTGTGGAGATGGTTAGACATTTGTTGAAATCACGAATCCATTAATGTCAGACCACCATTGAAAACTTGGAAGCATCAGACTACAGTTTTGTTCTAATTTGGAGCTCCTCGACAGTGCACATCCATAATCCCTCACGCTAAACTTGAACCCAAGGTCGTTTGTCTCGCTCGAACACCTAACCTCTAGACCACTGAACCAGCATCCAACGCTGTTGATCTATAACTTCAACCAGTCCATGGAATTGCACGACTATCTTCCATTGTCTGTGATGGGTAACTGCATCACACTCAACCCAGTTGAACTCTGCTGGCCACTACTTATTTATTCACAAAATAGTATTATGTTGTGCTTATAACAATCATTGTAACTATTATGTATTTCTAACTTATAAAGAGAGAGATATAAGAAAGAAACATTTGACTAAAAATCTGACAACAATAACCCTAAAACTCATAAATCAAACAATAACAACATTATTTCAATTCATACTTCATCGTTTTTCTTTCTTTCTTTCTTTCAAAGTTACTTTCACAATTGATCGAATGACATTGGGAGTGGTGATATATAGGGGTGGATAGGTTGCTGACATGACTGGTTAATCGTTGATTATTCAGAGTCAGAGACATGTTGATCAATTTCCTCACTGTAAATGTAGAATTATTAATGAATATTTGTTTTCGCTTTGTCCTTAAGTGTTCTACTAAATAAACATGTAAACTAAAAATGGGCACACTTGGGAATAATAATAATAGTAAATGTTATGTTTATTGAATGTAATCTATTCATAACATTATTTCATTATCAAAAATGTCATTAATACATTAATTCCCTTTAATTAATTCACAAGCTATTAATGAATTCAGTACAGTAGAATTGAACGTAAAATTACATAAATTATATATATATATATATATATATATATATATATATATATATATATATATATATATATATATATATATATATATATATATATATATATATATATATATATATATAGCAGGTAGAAAAACGTTCCAGTGAAATATTATGATAACAGGATTTAGTGAGACTAAAATTTATGGACGACCTTTGAGTGACGCTAGATTGACCTTGAGAGTGCCCACTTAATAACCAAGATCAAATGAGGGTTATAAACCAGTGTGAGGAATTATAATTATAATTCATATTTGATAATTAAGCTTAGAAGTTAGATTTCGGTTTTACATCATGAACTGACAGTTAAAATGGCAAGACGGTACTTATTCAAATGGATTAGTGAATTTCGCACCAAAATCTAAGACCTGTTATCTTATACGTGATTGGTTCATCCATAAATTATAGTCTTGCCCAGAATTCTTGCATTAATTTCAAAAAACAAAACAGTTTTTCCAAATTCAATGTTTAATTGAGTTAATAAATTTTGTTGTAGGACTTTAAGAAGAATCTTTTTTTAATTTTTCAAATTTAGTTTTCTATTTGATAATAATAATTGAAAACTGTTACTCGTAACAAGAAAAACCTGAGCTTTGTACAACAATAACAAGAAGATAAAAGGAAAACTGATGAAAAATATGAATTCTATTTAGTTTCACTTTCTCTCTTTCTTGAGAAACAAACACAATGATCACATATTTATTAAACGGATTTATTTTTATGTAGATTTTAGTGACATTTAATGATCGGCTCAGTGGTCTAGACGTTAAGCGTTGACGAGCGAGACAGGTTTTTCATGGTGGTCTAACTTCGATTGACTCATGATTTCAACTATTAAATTAATAAATATCATTTATAAATTAAATAGTGAGAAAATGTTCTGTCCCAAAATTTTTACATAATGACATTAACCGATTGTATTACAACTAGTAATGTATAGAGGTGTTTCATCCTAGTACGATATCCCTCAGTGGTATGCGAATATAATACATTTAGGGCCACCAATCGCAAGACCTTTTAGGGAGCAAAGTATATTCAGCACCACAGAGTATGAGAATTTGATCATTAAAATTTCCAACTACAGTTGACTTATGATATTGCGCCAATAAAAAGTAAAGCTAACTGATATAATGTTTTAACTGAAAAAAATCTGGGTTTCATTAGTTTACGTCATGGACTACTCTTAGTTAAACAACTACTGAAAACTAAGTAGCTATAGTGTACACCCGTGATCCGACTTAACATAACATCGAAGTCTTACCGCAAATAATGTAAATTCAAAGCACTGAGTCAGCGTCCAATAACTATTATTTATTACCATAAAGTTCAATAATATTCGCAAACCACCCTATACTGATAACAGACTAAGAAGTAGCCGAAATTGAGAGCTAATTCTCGGAGATGTAATGAGAAGCCATGTCTCATGTAACGCAGTTACCCAGCATTAGGACTGGATAATAGTTCTTGGATAGCACAAATTAGTTGAAGTTAGAAATGTAAACTATGGGAAGCCTTATCAAGAATCTAAATGTTGAACGCCCACCATGAGAACTGGAAGTCTTAGGTTCTGTTCAAAGAGTGGTAATAGATATACACTGTTCACAGTTCTAATAATGGAACGAAACAGATACTGGATCCTTCTCAGTTTTCAATGATTATTCAATTAAAATCATTTCATGATGTAATCTGTTAGTTTTTATAACAATCTGCTGATTTCCTTCAATTTATGTTACTTTTTTTAAAAAAATTTTCAATTCAGATCCATCAAGAAAATCAGGAGATTATGGAATATGCAGTGCCATTTTAATTACAATTTCATACTTATTCATAATTATTACATTTCCTTTCTCGTTATTTTTCTGTATTAAAGTAAGTTAATTTTTTATAGAATTAATTTTTGTAAATAATACATAGTTATTGTAGTTTTTATGCTTAATTTTGTTGCTTTCACACTGACCAGTACTGAGCTTACTTACTTACTTACGCTTGTTACCCCCATAAGAGCATAGGCCGACCAGTACTGAGCAATGTAATCCAAATGACTGAAATGGGAAATATAAACCATTGAATTCTAATTAAGTGATATTGGGTTATCGTTTGTTTGTTATAAGATTAAAATATCTAGTATTTCGTGTTTGTAAAACGCTATAGTTCCAAATTGATGAGGAATTCTAAACTAGAACAAAACAAGCATCCAGTGTTATTTCATTGATACTAATTTTTAACATAAACATAAAGGTGACAAATACTAACTATCTAAAATAGTCAACTTTTGTAGCGAAGTTGAATCTCAGCATATTGTTAAATCTAGAACATAAGGTTTTTCCAGTTTTAAACTTGTTAATTTAATGTATCTGAATTGTATTGTTAATATCCACTCTAAGATTTGAAACCCAGTACCATTCTGTTCAAATATGAAAGTATTATCAGACTAACGAATACCAAGTTGTATAGAAAATACTGTTTAAATTCTAATTCTACCCATAACATAACTTTATTAAAACTTATAACTATAGGTACTATCGATGGAATCTACTCTAAATGGACATATGTCATTAAAGACTAATGATAATAGCATTAGTAAGAGTTTAAATAGAAATCAGTTAATTCTAGATGATATTAACACAGAAATTCTCTTTTTGAAAAAGATGTCACATAGATTAATACATAATTTCTAAGTTATCTATTCATCATTGCATATAGTTATGAATAAATTACCTTCAGAATAATTAGATGATAAAGTGAATAAATAATACATTTAATGGAATTAACAAGTAGGTCTCTATGCTGCATACGAATACAAATAGTGATGTATAGCATGTAATGAAAATGAATAAGAGTAATAAAAAGAAGTATACTTTGTATGTATCTTATATTAACAAATGCTGTTGTAAATGTACTGTTATATATAAACATACCAAGTGAAATATTTAGGTAAAGTTTTCATATAATTTAAATATCGTTTACAGTTCTACACAATTAGTTACTAATATGATTGCATGAAGATTGGGGTTATACATCAAATGAACTGGAATGTTATTGTATGTTTGTTATACAACTTGAATGTTTTGTATGAAGCAATGAATGTTCACTGTTAGAGAGTTATGACATAGGTTCAAATATATATGACAGTGTATTTGATTCAGTTGATACATATATATATATGTCATAGATGATACTTTCAACTTATCTCGTTTATAAAATGAATACAAATTCTTCGAGAATACATACATTTCAAGCATTCATACTGTTAGATGAACTACAAGGAAGGATGTACGAAACAGTTTTTTAATTGACTATGAAATCAATTAACCTGTGAATTGTTATTTCAGTATTTCCATGGTTCTTATTGGCATAATGCAATATAGATAAACAGATATAGACAAGTACACATTTTTTAAAAAAGTAAACGAATGAAAGGTCACTATCGTTTACCTATAAATATATACACTGTAAGTATCCTACTTTGTATAAGTTCAAATAAGGCGTTTCATCAATCTGTCATGTCAATTCATGATACAATTGTAAACTCGGCTACATATGTGTGTATGTAAATCTTTCCGTTTTTGATGTTAAAGATTGAATTTCGATCAGTCTTTTTTAGCATATGTGCATAGTGAGCGGATGGACTTGATAATGTCACTAAGTAACAAGTATTTAATTACGGCTGTATGGTGACTAAAATAAAATCTAGGAAGAGTAATTCGTTCTAATTTGATGAAAATTCGGTCTTTGCTATCAACAATGAGATGTAAACATCTACAAATAAATAATAAAGTTCATTCCAGTAGTACAAGCTAACGGGTATTCGAATTTAGCAGATCAGTGGACCGGCTTCGAGTTCTGCTCTGATGTGATTATATTATATTTCCTTGAAAAAGCTTGGACTAGATTCCTAAACGAAACGTTGTATTTACTTCAAATTTATTCGTTGAGATTTTACGAATACATTCCTCCTTAATGTCATACAGAACCGGTTGCAAATAAGCCACATATAAAGTGGCATATTCATGTGTCGGTTTAATTTAGTTCCGAGGTTAAATAAATCCATACCGTTATAACTTGTGGCCTTCTACCCCTATCAATATATGACGTAATGATACCGTCAATTAGAGAACAGTGATTTATCGACTGGACCAATGATGCATAAAACCCGTACGAGCAGTCTAGGTTTTTCATCGATCCTTCTTCCTGTCCTGCCCTGCCTGTTGAGTCCAGAACACCAATCTCGGCCTCCGCCATATGAATCATGTATTTCAGACATACTGAGTTTATATGCAAAATAGCAATAAAGTTATTACATCCTAATGTCAATGTTATAATATATCAGTTATGAGTTATAAACACAAATAAAAGTTAAGTGACGTTATCATTCACCTAAATAAACATTTAGCCGTAAGAATCCTGATGAAGATCCAACACAGTAACTGATTTTAAAAAAATTATATTTAGAGTCACTTAAAGTGAATTTTAAGCAAACATGGATAGTGGCTAGCAGCGGAATCCAGGACTCACATTTGCCCGATTCGAGACTCGTGAGCTGGATCTCAGAGTTGATGTTCACTCTGGGACTCGAACCCAGTATCGTTTGCTTCAAGCGCCAACGCGTTTTCCACTTGACTACTGAGTCCTGGTAGCCACCTGCTTATGCAATGGGGTGAAGTTTAAGTTCACTTGGTATTGTGTACTTGTATTTTCCCATTGTTATTTAGGACTGCAATTGATCACTCTCATGTTGGCATATGTGCATCTTGTGCTTGCTTGAAGTTACAAGCATAATAAGCAAAGTTGGCTAATGGCTAGCAGTGGAATCCAGAACACGCGTTTCATCCTATTTGGCACTCATCAGCTAGATTTATCTAGAGACTGATCAATTGAAGTCCTAAACATCAATGGGAAGATTCAAGTAAACAATACCAAGTGAATTTAAAATGAATTTTATTGGTTAAATTAGAATAAAAATCTCATATATATATATATATATATATATATATATATATATATATATATATATATATATATATATATATATATATATATTCCTGTCCTATTAATCATTTTGAGTTGAACCTACCAAATAGTATGATGTAAAACTGATTCGGTTCACATCAAGTTTAAGCTTAAAGTGAAAAAATTATTGGGAATAAATTGTAGATTGGTTAAGATTTAAGTTATATTTTATTTATTACAAGAAAATATGGACAACTTTACTAACCTGACAGCTAAAATATCCAAATTCTCTCTTTTTATTCAACCAATCTGAAAGAAATATTTTATATTTGTGAAGGAAAGAAAATAATCGAAAAGATTTTTTCTATGTGTGTGCGTACAAACTCATTAGTTTCACTAATGATGGTTCTAAACCATACCAATAGTTATTATCGTTTAATACATTACATATATGATTTATAGAGTGTACTATTTATCTTTATACTATCTAGGGTTTTATAAAGTTATTCATTATTCTGTATACTTTTGTTTTTAATTATAGGTTGTAGCTGAATATGAAAGAGCAGTTATATTTCGATTAGGACGAATTCTGCCTAAAGGTGCTCGTGGACCAGGACTTTTCTTTATTGCACCATGTATTGATTCAATTCGTAAAGTTGATTTACGAACTGTAACATTTGATGTTCCGCCTCAAGAAGTAAGACATCTATCTATCTATCTATCTTTCAATCTATATATATAAAAGTATTGATCGGTTTTTTTTTCTTTCAAATTAAAACATATGATAACCAAAATTATTACATTGTTATATGTTTAGCGTTGTGGAGATTGTTAAGATTTTGATTGTGATAATGAATCGATTGACGTTTGTTATGCCTTGATAAGCATAATGAATGGTAACTATGGGGATCCATTTATGAACCAATACTAGACGTATGTTTTTATTGTATAATTGTTAAATAACTAAACTATTCATAGTCATGTCCACCTTATTATGAGTCTTATTTTGACCTATGAACTATGATTATACGATTTAAAATTCTTGAATTATACCCTGTCTATTAGTCACTGCCTCCCACATTCACGGCCATATTTGGCCAGATCTTGAGGTAATGTTGTTTCCTATTTTATGGTACGATGTGGTCTGTCTGGTTGGTATATAAACCCAGTATGTTTGAAACAAATGATTCATATTGCAGAGACTGAGATTGGTGTTCTTGACTTAACTGGCTGGGCTAGGCGGAAAGCAGGACCAGTAAGGACTCTAGACTGCTCGTTCATGCTTTATGTATCATTGGTCCGGCCGATAATTCAGTGTTCTCTAATTGGCTGTATCATCACGTTATACCTTAACAGGGCACATAGGCAACAAGTTATAACAACGTTAGAACACTATTGAAAACCTGAAAACACTGGACAGTCTTTTCGTCCTGATATGGGTCTCCTCAGCAGTGCACATTCATGACGCCGTATTCGGTAACCTAACCTAGGACCTTTGATCTCTCACGAGAACGCCTAATCTCTAGACTACTGAGCTTGAATCCAACTGTGTCTATGTCTAACTTCAATCAATCTACGAAATTGCACGACCATTTTTCATTGTCCTAGGTAGATACTTTTCTCTACTGTATAAATATATCTTTAATAATGTATGTTGTATAAATAAACTGATTTAAAAATATGTTTGTATATTAGAGAAAAGAATATGAACCATTAAAATTGCTACTGGATGATTGGAACAGAATTCCTTTTATATTAATCTTGAGATAATTAGTCTGATAATTTAAAGTTAAATATGCAAATATTTAGATTTTACTTCAAAGCTTTTTCATCTTTAGTTATTTACCAATGACATCAATGATTCATGGAATTAATAATTTATATTGGTATTTATTGGTCTACTTTATTTGTAATTTAACAATCTTTTAGATGAACAGTCGATTGTAGTTAATATTTAGTACGAAATATTTCTAAACATGTATAAGATGTTTGGTTTCATGTTGAATTACAATAAACTGTCAACAAAATCATAGTAATATTATATTTAATGTATTTCTCTTTCAACCTGTATTACTAGTTAGGGTTTTCTTTGAAGTAGGGTTGTTTTCTACGGGATGGGTATGCTGACCCCATGCTCAACCTTCCTCCTTTACCTGGGCTTCAGACTCGCAGTAACCGTAGAAAACCTACAGGCGAAGTTTTCAATCTGTTACTTATGTTAAAATACGTTATGAACTCTTAAGCTGTGGAATAAATAGTGAATGTAAGTCAAAATTATATTTGGGGGGGGGCATTTAAGATCTTTTAAATATTTTAGTTATTATTATATTTACACAAATACTAAGATCAACTCAAGAATTACAAAAAATTAAAAAGAACTCAACAGATATTTCTCCTAGGCCTTTGAATTTCTCAGTAGTACATATGAATAATATCAGATATACATTTAGATTTAAAGTTTTCAGATATCATTAAATTAATGGTGAGACCCTAGTTTATGGACGACCTTTGAACGAATCTTAAGTGACTGGGAAATATTAGCCAATCAGCAAACAGTAAGTGTAGAGTAAAAATATATTATACAAAGCCAAGGAAATAAAGTGGATACACTTCTTACACGCGGTTCAAAAACTTTTCTAGGTTAAAAAGAGGTTCAGAGGTTCTAAAATCGTAATGCATGCAGTAGAGGAAATAATCCATACGGCTACAGAATAGTCGGCCTCTGGAGCCATGATGAAGTTTCAAAAACTCTTTCAGTCTCGACCAAATAGTTTCAATATTGTTTATGTGCACTCCGGTTGTTGAGTACACAAAATGCCACTTGTTGATAATGACACGATGCACATAACCAAGCCCATGTAGGAGTCTGTTCGCTCTCCAATCATCCGTGTATATTGTAGTACCTGACTGCAGCCAGTGTTACTGAAGCTTTAATTATCGAGTTCGCAATAATTGTCATAATTTGCCTTAGCTAGGAATTATATGTAGGATTTCCATCACGAACTGACATAAGCTATAATGCCAAAATCCATTTAGCCCAATGGATGAAAGGCTTTCGCGTTAAAATCCGAGATCTGTTACCTTATACCTGATTGATTCGTTCACAAATTATAGTCTCGCCGTTTTATTTGTTATAGCCGCTCAATTATCACTTTTCCTACAAAATTCCCTGTGAGCCGTTTGTACGTTAGCATTAAGCAATGAAGTTGGCTCAGTGACCTTGAAGTCTCTCAAACGCTTCTGATTGGCTCGTTCATAAAATTGGAGTCTCGTCAATGTTTCACTTTTTTTAAACATGATTGACTAATTTCCTAAAGTTATTTCAAATATATTTGTAAATCAAGTTCTTTAAAAAAAATTCATTGATCAGTTCTAAATAGTAACTGAAGAGGGGGGGGGGTAACATTTGAAAAGTGGAATGTTTTGCGGAGTGCCGATCATTTTTAAAAGATCGTCGATGTTAAATATTATTTTTATTTAAGTCATTAATCAAGTTGATCACATGTAAAGTTTAGTTTATTTAAGGAAAGGAAAACAAAAGTAATAATTTAGTTATGTCTAATTTATAATTTTCTGTCATACAGTCAAGTATAAATTTCCATACACGAATGCATAGAATATGCTATCAGATAAAGAGATTCATGTTATGGTTTAACCTGTTATGATTACTGAATCCCTTTTCACTAATATTTGCTGAACTAATGAAAATAAACAAGAATTTAAATCCAAAAAAATTCATTTTCAATGAAAACGTTTACCATATCTCTTCAGTTTTATTCCATGGAATTGGAGAATGAAAGTTTTTCTAAACAAAAACTCATAATAGTTGAGATCATGATTCAATTGAAGCTAGACCGACATGGAAAACCTGGATGCACTGGATAGCCATTTCGTTCTATTGTGGGACTTCTTAGCAGTGTGCTTCCACGATCTCACCTCGTGAGATTAGAATCCAGGAACTATCACTTTTGCTCGCGAGTACTTAACCTCTAGACCTCTAGACCACAAAACCCTTTCTGATATTAAAAACTCATAAGTTGATTAATGTCATTTTTGAGGATATCAATTTTATGATAGAAGAATTAGACAACGATATCTTGTTGTTGAATGTTTCAGTCAATAAAATAAACACAGAAACTTTGGAAACAGAAATATGCGGACAACCAAGCATCACAAATCAAATGTTAAACAACACCAGCAACAACTCAACGGCATTTAAAAGGATTTGTGCTCGAACACTTCTTGTAAGAGCCCAAACTCACTGGGTTATTTTCACTACATAAAAATGTTGAGAAACTCATTTACAAAGTTCATCTACTTTTAGAACGGCTACCCCTAAAAAGTATGATCAAAAGATATGTAGTCAATTAACGAACTGTCTAGAAAACAATCTCAAGAACAATCTCAGGAACGATTGCATGGTTCTTGAACCCCTTTTGTGTTAACGTCACTCACAAACCAACACAGTCACTTTAGTCTATTTTATTCAAATCAAAAAGCCCGACACCAAAGGAAGACAAATTTAATCTTATTCACATAATAAATTGAACTAATTAAGAGAAGTATTACATAAGACAAAATGGGCGCTCCTTTTATCTTTGCCCAAGTAAACACATATTAGCAGCTCGGTAAAATGATATCAATCATATCAGTTCATATTGTTAACTATGGACAATAACTTGATTGTTTAATTGTCTAAATTCTGGATAGGAGCAACTCAGAATTCAAATAAATCAGTAGTCAACACACATATCAACACTGACCCAATTTATGAAACCATACAGAGGACGTCAGTCAGTCATAAGTCAATCAATAAAAATAGTCAACGCGAATCTGACGGCAAACGAAGGTAACTAAACACACGAAGGCGGCCAGTCACAAACAAGTCAGTTAAAATGGGCCGGTATAATACTTATGCAATAGTTAGAAAGCTCACTTTTATATGATGTAAGCGATGAAGTTATTGTTCAGGATGATAATGAAAGCTTCGTAATAAAAAAATCTAGCTCAGAGAACTTAACACAACCAAAAAATACATTGAAGATAGTAAGCGTTTCTCGCCAATGATAAACCCAGTATAAATCTTCCTCAACAAATACTAATCACATAAACATGCTAATCCTTTCTTTGTTTTTTTTTCTTCAGGTCCTTACCAAAGATTCAGTAACAGTAGCTGTAGACGCAGTAGTTTATTATCGTATTTACAATCCTGTCGTAGCTATAACTAATGTTGAAGATGCCGATCGATCAACACGCCTACTAGCAGCAACTACATTAAGAAATGTTCTAGGTACGAAAAATTTAGCTGAGATTTTATCTGAACGTGAATCGATTTCAACATCTATGCAGGTAAAACAAAAAAATTGATTGATTTTATAACTTTCAATGAATTTTTTTTATTATCTTTACTATTTTGTTTTATTTCTGTAGTCAAGATATAGATGAGAATGTCTGTAATTTATTATAACCATGAATTGATAATTATAAATCAAATAGTTAGGAATAAATGTAATCAATTATTCAAGTCAAAAATCGAGTAAAACATTACAATTAACTGTTAATCATGAATGATTATGTAATAAAAAGTATGATTTATCAGAGAGTTAATTGTACGTGTATATATGTACTTACAAACTGATACATTTGATGATTTTGATTGAGTATTACCCTGAAGAAGTCTAGACAAATTAGCTGGACGAAACGTTGGAATTGTTCAAACTTCAGTCGCTGAGATTATTTCAAATATAATTTTTACACATAATGACTTCTCTATACTCGTCACCCAATCCCTGTCAAACTATTTGCTCTAATCTTCACAATTGATTGATCACTGGGTGATGATCAATATCATGTGTGTCAAGTTCTTATTAGTGCAGATTGAATGCTATCGACCATGTTTTAATGTGGCCACCAGTCTAGGTGACTCGACACTCTAATCGTGATGAATATTCCTATGATACATTTTATATTTCTCAGTTTTATGCCCAAAGTTAAATAAAGTTTAAATAATCAGATATGTTAATCATTATCATTGATGATGAAAACAAACGTAAATGTAGAATAATTGATTCAATTGTTTGTACAATTATAAAGTAATGATGATAAATCGTGACATACGAGTTGTAGGATATTAGATAGTATAAAGTAGATATATACTTTTTATAATGTGTTATTGGAGATGATTGAATTAGAATTGTCATACAACGGACTAACTATGGCTAGACAACTATGATAAATCGAAAAGCATTAGATACCTATACTTATAAGTGGTTTATATTGAGAGGTAATTAACTGAAGTTCTAATTAGTAGTCGTGAACAGGAGAATTCAATCACTTTGGATTTGAAATAAATACCACCAATCGCAATGGATAATGGTCATTTAATAACGTGAATTGATTAAAAGCAGAAATGTAAACTATTAGATTTCAACTTAGTGTTCTGAAAGTTAATCACTCTTCAAGAGGTCTGAAAGTCTTGGATTCAATTCTCACTTCAGTCGTAAATGTGTACCAGGAGAGAGTCTCAGTCCATGATGGGACATCTATCAAGTAGTTCCTGGTTATTAGTGGTTATTTGAAAGTTTGTCTGAAAAAATTTGTTTCGTTTATTGCCTGGTCTTAGAACAATCAGCAACATGCTTTGCTGGATTCATTTCTATTGGTAATTGGAACTCATAAGTAAAGTATATCTACCATAATGAAACAACTAATCTCAGCAAATATCAAAATACATTATATACGATTTTCATTAATTCAAACCAGTTCTTAGATCGTAACATAATCGATAGTGTTTAGTCATGGTCAAAAATCTGGATGAACATGATGTGAAGTGATACTTAGTGATGAGTCAGTAGAAAAGTATTTTCATTTATTATACTTAGATTTTGGCTAGTACTAGAGCTCGAGACATGAGTTTTGTCCTATTTGGAACTTGTCATCAGAATTCCTCCGTTAACTACAATTCATCTATTATAATTACCTTGTAACAAAATGGCCACGTAGAAAGTAATTCTTACACAAGACCCATATACTTGCTAGGACTGTTTGAAACTTAATTTTATGTATAAACAACAAGACAATCAAAACACCTATAAATTTAATATTCAAAATCTCTTAATGTTGAAATGAATATTTGCATTAAGATATGATGGGAAAAACACAGTAAACTTTTTTGATTCGACTTAAGACGGACAGTGAATGCACTTAACGTTTAATACATTACAACTCACTCGGCTAAAGAAATATCGAACAATAGGATTCAGTGTGTTACTTAATGCGTTAAATACATCGTAAATAAACGAGCGCAATAAAGAAAGGAAATCTCAAGTGATATGATCCCATTCTCAATTACTGTCAAACATATCCAAAACCATAAGCATACTTTATTTTGATCAATAGTGCACAAATTCTATTCTTATTGACAAGTATAATATTTATATAAAGATTCGTGAAGATTGTTGTATTTTAACGGTTGAACTCACGAGTCAGTCTAAGTTAAACCACTAGTGAAAACCTGGAAGCACTGGATGGCTTTTTCATCCTGGTATAGAACTCCTCAGCAGTGCACATTTAGTGTAATAATCCAATCCATATCACGTGGAGACAGTTATTCACTTCAGACAATAAATGAAAGGTTGCAAATAATCATGAATCGATCGAAATTAGACATTAACATCGTTGGATGTAGACTCAATGGTCTAAAGGTTAAGCGTTCACGCGCGATACCGAATGCCCTGGATTCGGTTCCCACAAGCGGGATCATGGATGTTCACTGCTGAAGAGTTATCTACTAGAACGAAAGGACCATTCAGTGTTTCTAGATTTTAAATAATGATCTAGCATAGATTAATTCGTAAATTCAACTATTAAAATTATAATCAGATCATAAAGTTAATGGATAAACTTTCCATAAAAAAGGGATAGGAATTTCTGTGACATTTAAATTGTAAACTATTTTAACCTTTGAAATGTCATTTGATTAAATCCCATAGAAAAGGAATAAAAATTTTTCATTCTACAAACTTTTATTATTCAATTTCTTTTTGAAAAATAAGTAAACAGGAAATTATTTTAATTTTACGATAATAAAAAAAGAAACTTATTTTGGAAAAATATTAAACATTTTGATTTTAACAACAAAAAAAACTGTTTATAGTTTTTAAGCAAAGATGAATAGTAGTTAGCAGTCGAATCCAGGGCATGCATTTCGTCCTATTCGAGACTCGTGAGCTGGATCTCAGAGTTGATGTTCACTCTGGGACTTGAACTAAATACCATTCGCTTCAAACGCCATCGCGTTATCCACTTAACTACTGAGTCTCGATAGCCACTTGCCTATGCAATGGGATGAAGTTTAAATTCACTTGGTGTTATTTTACTTGTATTTTCCCATTGTTATTTAAGACTGCGATTGATCAGTCTCTTGTTGACATATGTGCATCATGTTCAGATTGCCTCGATATAGCCTTAAGTCACAAGGTTTTTATTAACTTTTCTTTTAATGTAAAAAAGAAACTTTTGAAAAATTTGAATATTTTAATGGTGGTCAATATATGTATTTTTAAAGTTTGTACTGTGAAATTATACTATTAGTGTTGGTTACTATGTTAAGCTCATATAACTTCTACTAGATTCTGGACATGCATCCATTTTTCTAGAGTCACGTTTTGATCTTGTTAATTATTCACTTATCAACCACGAGTGTTTCATTTAAGCGTGTGTGTATATTTCTTATCCTATTCATCACATGTTTGTAACTTATTTTTATGTGGTTATAAATATCGATTCACGCTTGATTCAATGGAGTTGGTTTACCCATCTTCATCGTGCGTCATTTCACTTCCCTCTCTTCTCTTCACTTTATTCTCTGATTGTCTGTTCAACTCAATGAATGCATGAAATATATATATTCAATATCCATTCTCGTATTTGACTTATTGAATTCCGTTATTCACCAACGCGAATCAAGTCGATGATTATATACGAATATTGACGATATATATATATATATATATATATATATATATATATATATATATATATATATATATATATATATATATATATATATATATATATATATATATATATATTTCGACAGCAATCGTTGATACGACTTAACTGGAGGTAGATATCGGGTTATAAAAGTTGTGAGCCCTTCGGTAACATCTTCCGATCTAATTGACGTCAAAATGAAGAGCCCAACTAAATACTTTTGAAACAAAGTTTTATTATTATTAGTATTATTATTAATGGCTTTATTCAATAATATATTTTTGGTAAAATATAGAATTCTCAACACAAAGTTTTTCAACAAGTTTCCTTTTCTTGTTTCTTGATCGATCCTGACGATAAATATTGACTACTCTTGAGTTAGATGTTATCAATTCGAGAATCGATATTTGAATAATGTTCATTGTTTTCAATGCATATTGCCAGCCATCACAATGTCTCCGATTGTACTTTTTTGTAACTTGTACAGCGAAAGATAGTAAACTTTTCATAATTGTGCTAAAACAAACAAGAAAACAAATAAATGATATATTTTTAATATCTCAATGAGTAGAAAAATTAGATTTTCTGACGTTTCGTGACTTAGCGTAAGACATTTCTTCACAAAAAAATAAATAACCTATTATTTATTGTCTAAAGAAGTGGCTTAGACTAATTTACAAAACGTCAGAAAATCTAACTTTTCTACTCATTGGGATATTACAAACGTATTATTTATTTATTTATAACAATCTACCCAATGCTCAATTTATTCGAAATTATCAAATCAAACCTTGATAATGACACCTACAAACAAGGAAACAGATAACTTGTTGGAATATCTAGATGACAGGAACAAGTATCTCAGATGCTCAAGCAGATTGCCCTGCTTAAACTGATTCTTATATAGTCACTTGCCTTTCAAAGAATGTAACACTGTATTAAACATGGTCATTTTATGTCTAAAGCACTTTTACTCTGTTACTATATTTTTAATGAATCTATGACATCAGTATATCAAAACGTCTGCTTTTCATCATTTTTGCCTTTTCATTTTCTATGTTGGAATGAAGTGTATCAGTTTGGCTCAGAAAGTGTTATGTTCTCTGAGTTCGATAGTTTAGTTGTGAAGCATGAATTGGTACTTCTAGACAATATCATTGGCACATATCTATCATATTATTTAGAAAAACAATTAATTGCTGTACGATTACTTCAACAAGCTCAAAAATCCAATATATAAAAAATCCACCTACTGAACTACGAATCATCTTTGTGATCTATTGCATCAGCTTAAACCTGTCAACTCAATGGCGGAAAGGTTAAATACATAATATGAGGTCTGTAGGTCATAGGTTCTATCTCTGGTGAGATAGTAGATATATATTGCTGAGGAGCTTATTACTGAGAAGAAAAAGTTGTTTAGTATTTCCCAGTCTTTAATCTTTTTGTCAAACTAAAGTCACACTGCACCATACAACTTCGTAAGAATGACAAGTGTTTGTCTTCTTCATTTCTTTTCTCTCTATTAGACAATGCTTGATGATGCAACTGATCCGTGGGGCGTGAAAGTAGAACGTGTTGAAGTGTAAGTAAATTCATAATATATTTGTTTGATAAAAGGAAATACGTATAACTGTCCTGCTTTATATTCCATAACTTATATGTTTCGAATTCCGTTTACATCTATAGCTTAAAAGAATTCTTTTGGTAATAACTGTACTCCTATTGTGCCTTTTAGAAAATTAACGATAAATTCAAAATTATGCTGGAAATAAGAAATTACGCTAAATCGTCACGTTGAATTATCCTCTTTTTTAAATAGAATTAAAAAAAACAAATTTCATGGAGTTCTAGTGGGAAGCCATGACCACTGGATCCAGTGTTACCAGGTTTTCAATGGCGGTCTTACATCAATCGGTTCATGATCTTGATTAACATTTATCATGTCATCTTTCAATCCTGACAATAAGTTCGACTTTTCGGATTCATTTGAAAGCGTTGGAATTGGTGTACATCATATGTCCCTTGTAATTACAAGTCACGTCAGTATACGACTGAAGAGTTTTTATATTAATATAGACTTTATGTTTAGTTGCAAATAACAATCGGAAATAACTCAACAAGTTGATGATCTTTGTGGCATTGTGTAGAGATCGAATTTAAAGTGACTGGTTTATGGTTAGAGTTTCGAGGGATACTAAAATGTAAGTACATTTAGCCAAGTTCATATTAAACGAAATGTACGTCCAGAATGTTACTGCTAGATTCTATATGAAAATATAATTCTATTGTAGATACATATTCATTTATTTGTACAGTTTGTATTCCTAATTTTTTTTCATTTATTCTAAATCAAGTTCTTATAACTTATGTAAATCATTTGATACCAACTGTGAACCATTAAACGTATAAGATATCTCGATAGCAATTTCAACATAGAATGAAACTCTTCAACAGTGTATTTATACAATCCCAATCAAAGAAATAGACCAGCCCTTACGACGAATATAATACAACACTGTAGTTACTCAACAAAAATTCCTTCACCTCCGATTTAGCAAACCATTGATTAATTCCACTTTTTTCAATAAAATCAGGAAATTTCAGTTCTAATCCATTTGAAACGTTAAAATTTGAATTAAATTGATCCTTCTTTTGTAACATTTTGTTTTGACACTTGATGTTTTAGGAGTTTCTTATTCTAATGACATAACTATATATATAAGATTAATTCATCATAATAACTCATATTTAACATTAGATAAAACTAGTTATTATTTACTTTGTTGAATTCGTTTATTTATTATTATACTTTGTCACATATACCTTGTCATTGATTTTCTATGTTAAATATATATATATATATATATATATATATATATATATATATATATATACTTTAGAATAAATTTAGACTGTTACACAAAGCCTTTGTGAAGATTATAATAACTGGATTAAATCAAATAGTATGCCTCAGGTCATAAGTAGTATAAGTATATGCATACAATATATATATGGAATTCGATTGTTAGCAGTCATAATGCTATAATTTCGCACATAAGCAAATATAACTTTTAACGAAACAACTTATAATCAGAGAGGGGTTTTGTGAAGATTGTAGTTACTTAATAATTGAATTTATGAGTCAATTGAAGCTAGAATACCATAGAAAACCTGGAAGCACTGGATGGTCGTTTCATCCCAGTATGGGACTTCTCAGCAGTGGTCTAGTGCTTCCAGGTTTTCCATGATATTCTAGCTTCAATTGACTCATAAATTCAATTATTAAGTAACTACAATCTTCACAAAACTCCTCTCTGATTATAAGTTGTTTCGTTAAAAATTATATTTGTTTATGTGCGAAATTATAGCATTATGACTGCTAACAATCGAATTCCATATATATATATATATATATATATATATATATATATATATATATATATATATATATATATATATGCAAGAACAGGTTCGAGGTCATTTGGTGTTAGAATCAAGGAAGCATTAAGGATGGGTAATGTAATAGTTATCTGCCTCTAAACTCCACTCAACTATTACATCAACCCTCCCTAATGTTTCCTTTATTCTAACATCGAATGACCTCGAACCTGTTCTTGCACATGTATATCTATATTTTTGATAACCCTTGCTATTCCAATTCTTTGCATTCACTTATGTCAATTGTTTCATACTATTTGGTTGTAAGCAGCTGATGAGAAACCACGAAATATATAATGATTTCATATTATTCTGCATCTATATCTGTTCTGGCTTTATTTAAATTTCTAATATAATTCACTTTTAATTGATTCGTTTTCTTTAAATGTTATTATTATTGTGTAATTGTTTGACTCTTTAAATAAATAACATTAGTATATCATGATTTTCTTTCGATTTATTATTATTCTAGAAAAGATGTACGTTTACCTGTACAACTTCAAAGAGCTATGGCCGCTGAAGCTGAGGCTACAAGAGAAGCACGTGCTAAGGTAAAATTTATCTTAAACTAGTGTCATATACACTGAATACATATTTTAGCATCACTGTTATTATTTTACTTTTGACAGAATTCCATTTGTTTAAGCTAAATAGATTAGATTTTACTTTTTATAATAAATTTCTGAATCTCCTCTTAACTGTAAATTCAGATTCCGTTCAAAAGATTGGTAAAATTGTCTATCAGTTTTGACTTAATGACAATAAAAGTGTATAAAGCTGTTAAATTAACAGTCAGTTAATCAATCATCTTCAACATCACCATAGCCAATTAAGGACCTGGATGAATGTTTACTAGTTGAATTTGTCATATATGACATCTATAGAGAGTGAGAGAAGATTCACCCGATGAGAAAAAACGATATGTAATTAATCTAAACCATAATGAAGATAATGAGAAATATAAATTCATTTTGTATTGTTTGTTTGAATTTTCACCCCAATGCACAAGCTAGAAGCTGTCAGGACTCAGTAGTTAAGGGGATAACGCGATGGCGTCTGAAGCAAACGGTAATGAGTTTCGGTCCCGGAGTGAACATCAACTCTGTGATGCAGGTGCATCCTTCTGATGAGTCCCGACTTGGAGGAAACGTACGTCCGGGATTCGGATGCTGGCCATAATCCATCTTTGCTTAGAATAAGAAACGTAGTTTTGTAATAAATATATGAAATTTAAAAAATGAATAATAAAGTATTTTATCACATAACTCATTATGTAGACTAAAGGCAAAGAGAATAACACAAAAAACTGAATTTAATCTATCTAGAAGCTGAATTTGTGAACAATTTCATTGGGTTTCTTAGATAATGTTTTTTTTCAGTAGTAGCCTCCTAAACACAGAAAGCATATATTTATTTTATATAAATTCGAAACAAACAATCGGTTATATAATTATATTATGGATAATTCCCGTTCATTTCAATAGGCTAATGTCACTCTAAATCTGATCGAATGTAGCATTTGTTTCCCTATAAGCAGTTTGCTGGATAAAATGCATGAGTTCCTCTGAAAATATCAATTCTTTGGCGATCATAGACATGTTTATGAGGGTCAAGTAACACGAAGTTTAACATGTAATCAAACACTTATTCATAATGTCCACCTAGAACTAAAACTATGTTTCTGTTGAGTCTTTTTTATTTTTCGGGGGATTGAGTGTGAAAAATTGTTAAGAATGAGAGCAAACATTGTCACCAACTGCATGAATTACACTTGATTAGTAATCAAGATATTTTACACAGTAATGCACAATGTATTCTTAATCATAGCGCAATTCCGTTTGTATTTTAAATCATTAGTGAAACAAATTTCCACAAAAATATTGAGATCATAATGCATTATATGTAGTCGTTGCGTTTAACCTGAAGGTACTTTGAATAGTAAGAGAGCTTGCAGAATTGCGTGCTTGAGAAAAGCTGCAAAAAGATGTACAAGAGAAAAAAATGAGCCAACCACTCAGTAGTATGAACACAAAATTCGCTTACTTTTGGTAAGCAAAGTAATCAACAAGAATTTGCTATAACACAAGGGTAAATTTAAGACTACCTTATAATAGAAACTAGCAATTGATAGATCAAGGCTTTTAACCCGTCACAGGTAGGAATTATGAAATTATCTGAGATAAAGTTGGTCAAAAGACTCAATGCAATTAAATAAATCAAAGAAAGATGACTAGTTCTGTTTCAAAGATCATAAATTGATGAATGAATAATTAATCTACATATTCCATTTCAATATGAAGTTGATTTTGTTCAGTGTCCTATAATCAGTCCCGTTTCATAATGATGACTACTACTACTACTCATAGTACTGTTGTGTGTGCTACTGATGTCAACAGATACAAGTAGTACATACTACCAATCGAAAGTGAAGTGCCTGATGGCAGAAGGTTAAGAAGATGGAAGAGAAGAGAACGAGAACAGAGAGTGATTGATATGGAAACGAAGAAACAATCAAGTGTGAGACAATTGATTGACATTTTGCAAATGAAGTATTTACTGTATGGCTCACAGATTTTACTAAGATATTCTGTAATTTTTTATTCAAATGCATTTGGTTGTCCCCGTCTACGCTCTCGTTCACTTCACTACCACCACCGCAACTTCGTGATGATGATTATAATGTAAGGAAAAGCAATTTTAATTCTGATTGATGGACTAAACGTTTTCAAGTATTACAACTAAATGTGTGTTTAGCTGGTAGATGTTAAACGGTGTATTTAATTATTACACTTGCCCATTTTTTGATAATAATCAGTTAATGATAATGATGATGTGTAGTCTGAATAAATGCATTTTAGAATGTACCTAAATAATAATTGCATTATTAAACAGTCCAGTTATTCAATTATAAAATAGATATTCGACTTGCGTTTAGACAATTTTCTTCTTGATTGTTACTCTTCAATCATAATTAACAAATTGAAATGATTGATGAGTTGAATGTTTTGGTTGTATATTGAATTGAACTGGAATAATATAAAAGATGGACACATCTTTTCTCGTACATCAATTTTGTATATATACAAAAAACAGTAATCCTAGTAATTAAAACTAAGTGGTCTTATGCTACCAATCATTACTACTGATATAATCATATTTGTATTATGATTCATAAGTATAAGAATTTACTATGAAATGATCTTATGTATATATACGTATACAACAAGAATACTATTTAGGACTGGCTTACAAGAAATTACCATCGATGTACATTTGAAGAATCTCCTACATAGACATCTATTCTAAAGTTTTCCAGTTGAAATTCTGAATTTGGATTCTAATCACAGAGGAGTGTTTTGTGGATATTATAGTGATTTTCGTAGATGAATTCATGAATCAATCAAAGCCAGACCACCATGGAAAACCTGGAAGCACTGGAAGGCCGTTTCGTACTAGTATAGGACTCCTCAGCATTGCGCATCCACGGTCCCGCTTCCCGCGAGAATCGAACCCAGGACCTGTCAGTCTCACGCGCGAGCGCTTAGCCATTAGACCACTGAGCCTGAATCAAACGGTGTCAATGTGTAACTTCAACCACTTCATGAAATCGCGCCACTGTACATCGTTATCTTCAATGAGTTACTATCTCACGACAGACCCGATTGAACTTCACTGGTCACTTCTGAGGAGTTCTATATTGGGACGAAACGGCCATCTAGTGCTTCCAGGTTTTACATGGTAATCTAACTTTAATTGACTCATGAATTCGTCTACTAATATTTGAATTCTGTTCTAATTAATAATCTTCGGCAGGAACTAATGGGAATCTTGGGGAAACTGATGTATCTGGTCTGAATAAAGCATATGTGAATCAATTCTACAATCAAGAAATTTATCGCTGAACTATTCATACCACAAATAATATCCTTCAAAACTGACATACACTTTTTTAATTAACTGATGTAGTTTTACGTCAAATGCGACAATCTTCAGTCCCAATGTATCATTTTTCATTCCAAACAATATGTACTTTATAAAAAGCTATAATTTGTAAGCTGGACTTAACATTATGTGAAATAGATAGTAAGTTTTAATAATTCTATGTATTTAAAGTACATAAAAATGGTTTCAGAAAAGATTAAAAAAACAAATACTTCAATAAACAAATGAGAAATCCATCATTTGAACTGTTATTTACTGGACCATTTATAATATATCAAGTTAACAAATAAACAAAGTTATGACTGTTTCTTTCATTATTATTTAAATCATAATTGAAAAATGTCATCCAAAACTACTTTAAATAACTTCAGTTGTTTGGAATACCTTTTCTGGTTAGAATACTTTCAAGTTGAATTGTTTTCTACAGGATGGAATTGCTAACCTCATGTCCAACACTCCTCCTTTACCCGGAATTGGAACCGGCAGTAAATTTAGCAGAGCAACAGGCGGATATATATATATATATATATATATATATATTAGTGATTTCAAAAAAATTCTAGAAATGAACTCAACTATAAAATTACAAAATGATCTAAATAGATGCAGGATCAGATCCACTTGATATTGTTTACTTGAATCTTCTCATTGATGTTTAGGAATGCAGTTGATCAGTCATTAATTGGCACATACACATACTGTGAGTTTTGCCTCGATATTTCCTGAAGTCACAAGCATTATAAACAAAGATGGTTGTTGGATAACAGTGAAATCCAGGAGGCGCGTTTCGTTCTATTTGAGACTCGTCAGCTGGAGATACCCGCATTCCAGATTTGATGTTCACTCCTGAACTCGAACCCAGTACCATACATCAATAGGAAGAGTCAAATGAATATTATCAAATAAATTTAGGCTTCACTCAATCTCACAAGCATGTGGCTATCAGGACTCAATAGTCAAGTGAATAATATGATGACATTAGGGGCGAACGGTGCTGGGTTCGAATCCAGGAGTGAACATCAACTATATGATGTAGGTACATCCAGCTGACGAGTCTCAAATAGGAGGAAACGCACGTCCTGGATTCCATTGCTAGCCACCATCTATCTTATAGATTCAAGATCAATTTATATTCAAATTTGTTTAAACCATAAAATTCTGAAGTTATTTGACATAATGTAAATAATTTTTATTATATTTCATAATGTTTGACTGATAAATTTGTCAATAAAACATCCATTATTCTTTATTAAAGTACAGTAGAAAATGTAAAACTCTACTGTTAACTCGGAGTTATACTCAAAATAAATATAAGATTTTCACTTCACTTATTAATTAATGATAACAGATCAATTTATTTGCTGGTTATTTCCAAGTTTATAAAAGATGATCGAAGTTATTCCCCCACCCCAATGATTGTTGTATGTAAACTACTTAGAAGGTCGGTAATAAAGAAAAGAAACTTTATTAAGAAATGTTGTTTATTTTCTGGGTATATATAAAACAAACAAGTGAAGTTTTCTTTTTGAGAGAGGTAATTTAATTTTAAAACAAAAAAGAAAATGAAGTGAATCTTTTGTTGATTTTCCTTTCATGCGTGCTTTTTGATTCTCAGTAAAATAATAATAAAATGAATTTTACATTAATCAATTATGATTTAAGTGGATTAATCGCTAAATAATGATGTTTTCTACATGATGCTTTATAAGTATCAATATGAGACTAAAAACTGCATTGACGAGAACTTATCCTGCAGTTAAATTGATTGTCCTGTCCAAAACAACATGTTCTTTGATACAATCAAAGGTCGACAAGTATCCTTTCATGTTACCACCAAGTGTGCATACAAATTTACATGTATCTGCCAAAGCAGTTTCATTAGTAGAACAGAAAGGAGAGCCTACGTTCGATTCGAAGAGCATATTCCGAAAAGTTTAAGATCAAACGGACTGAAAGTATTCAGCAGTGCCATCGCAAGACATCTCCTTGACACAGGACACGAAGTCGATACACTGAAGTCCTTCAAGGTGATTAACAAACAATCAAGCTCAAACCTTTTGAAATTTACCGAAGCGATAGCAATCAAACTTTTAAAACCAGATCTTTGCATATAAAAAACAGTAATAAATCTTTCTTTGCCCTGGTAACATTACCCCCGTTTATTTATTACGTCATTCCAACTCTTTCTAAATTTTATAATTACATCATTTATAACTGACCAATTTCAACTCATATCTCTCTTTATTACCACTAATCTATTTTCAGTTACTTCATTACATAATAATCTAATATGTTTTAACTCCATGAGTTCTAATCGCTATTTCAATGTTCTGGAACCTTCCCTTCCAAACTTTATTTATTCTAAACAAAATTTTATGACCTCATGAACTGTATTAGAATTTCCACTACATCATAATACATATATTCATCTTTCATCACCCTCTTATGTATAAGTATGTCAATATCTATAATAACTCTGATTTTCAAATATTTTAGGTTGTAAGCAGCTGATGAGAACCTAATAAAATAAAATGAATTCATATTATTCTGCACTAATCTTTGTTCTTGATCTCTTTAAAAGGGAACTATGTGTATGAAGTTATATATTAGTTTATACTATTTGATTATAATTATCTCAGTAGTATAGCGTGGATTTACCTAAATTATTTAATATTGTATATATACAGTTTAAGAATGAGTTATCCTGAATTGAGGAATCGATTTTGAAATTTAGTGTGACATTTGAAAATCAATGACTTTTTTTCTTTTGATATACTCTCGGAATATTAATATATGTATATATCATAGAGTGAAAATGATAGTATTATGTATAGATTGTAAGTAACACGTAAACTAACCTCCAACCAGGAACATTGGAAGACTCACAATAAAGCATTTTTATGCTAATACGAGTTCAAGAAAACAAATATTTCATAACCAAATAAATGAACTCATATATCGTTGTTTTTTATTTTTTGATCTGCATGCTGAAAAACCTGTAGAAGACTGCAGTAGATTCATTAACTATATAAAATCTTATGCTTCAATGTTCACCATAAACTATTCATTAACAATAACTGTTTTTCCAATTGACTAACAATGATCTGAATGGAGTTTTGTGGAGATTTTAGTAACTTAATAGTTGAATTAATTCCCTCGGGGTAGGATTGTGGATGCGCACTGCTGACGAGTCCCGTGCTAGGATTTAATGGTAATCAAATGCTTCCAGGTTGTCCATGGTGTTCTAGCTTCAATCGACTCATGAACTCAACTTATAGATTAGCAATGATCTCAAAATTTGTTACAATTTATCTATGAATCACTAAGGTTTATCTCTACTCACAATACTCTATGTCAATAATTATTCAAAAAAATGATGCTTGTTTATTTTTTAAAATAAAAAAATGGAAAATAAACTCTCATCAGTAATATAATAAATTATTCTCTTCTTTTTTGCCTTTTTCTTTCTATTCGTCTCTTTTTTTAAGGTAATTGCTGCAGAAGGTGAAGAAAAATCCTCAGTTGCATTAAAACAAGCTGCTGATGTTATTAAAACATCACCATTTGCATTACAATTACGTTATTTACAAACATTAAGTGCAATTTCAGCTGAAAAAAATTCCACAATTATATTTCCCCTTCCAATTGATATGTTAGTTAATTTATTTCATCGATAAAATGACATAATCAAATTAATTTAAATCAAATCAGTAAATTAATAAACAAACAAACAAATAAAATAAACATTCATATACATGATAATATAAATAGTTCTCTCGTATTAAATTAAAATTTTTAGAAAAAAAAGAAAAAGAGAAAGAAAGAAAAAAGAAGGTAAACGGTTTATTATGTGGAATTCTGTAAACAATCGATTAAATAAATATTTATTCAATTTTTTTTTCAAAAATATAATTACGCGCAATACATGAATGAAATACAATACAATACAATGTATTTAATCTTGAATAATAGATTTCTCTATATCTTTAGTTAAATGAAAAATAAATGATGAATTATTGTTTATTGTTTATACATTCTCTATTACATGAAATTGATAATAAAATTTGTGTGACTGTTAATAAAAAGTTTTCCTTTTTTTCAAGAAAAATATTACAATATAACAATATGCCTTTTGGGTGTTTGCAAATTGTTCTGTTATTTTGTTTCCCATTCTATCTTTGGTTTTCTTTTTTTCTTTATATATATATATATATATATATATATATATATATATATATGCGTGTGTATCTGTGGGTGCGCGTGTGCGTTTGTTTGATATGTACTCTTAACAGAAGTAACATTCTTTTGTACTGATCACAGAATTATTGTTTTTTTTCTCTTCACAATTGATAAATAAAAGGGGTTGAAAAATCATTTAAAACTAAGTATAGGTAATTTTTTTTCTTTTTTTCTTCTTTATAAGTTAGGTAATTACACACAAACTAAACATGATATAATCATTTATATTGTTTAATTCTTATAAGTAGAAATCAAAATACTCATTTATTTATTTATTTTTGAATAATTGAATAAAATTATATCATTCAATGTCAATTTTGGTTTACTTCTAAAATTTATAATGATTTCACTGTTTGTTTTGGTGTAGTGAGTTGATCGATTGGCGCTGGTTTGATGACGATGATGATGATAATAATAGTAACAATACTACTATTACTATTATCAATAATTAGTATTATTATTACTATTGTTATTAACTTTGTGAAAATAAAATATTTTATCATTTATTCTCCTTTTAAATAGTACAATATATAAACAAGAACTCATTGATGTCCATCTACATGGACTTTCTATTGAATATGTTTAAAATCTTAACTTATTTTACACCTTCCATTTTGAATTAGTTTGCGTTTCTTTCCTTCTTTCTTTCTTTTTTTTTCTCTTGAAATTTATTTTTAATGAATATGTTCAATAGAGACATTAACATGAAAATAGTCAATAAATTATGTCTATTCATTCAATCTTAAATAATCTATTTCTTTAAGCATTTTGAATAGACATTTATCTTGCTGTGTATGTGTAAAACTGGCGTTTATTTTTTCTCTTCTCTTTCTTGATGTATTTGAACGTACTATTATTACATTTAAGTATACATATTATAATTCGTTTTTTTTGTTTGTTTTTTCTTCTTTATATGGAAAGTAAACAAACTACAATGTTTCGAGTGATAAATGAAGGAACGGAAGAAATAAACAAATAAAGGATTTCTTTCTTTTATTATTAGTCTCATTATTAATTTTTTATTAATATCCAATAAACAGATAGATATAGATAGAAGAATGTACTTCGTTTCATAAGGTTACATTTTCTGTTAATACAATATGACATGAAATTAACATCACTTACTTACTTACATACGCCCGTTACTCCCAATGAAGTATAGGCCGCTGACGAGCATTCTCCAACACACTCTGTCCTGGGCCTTCCTAGGAAATGAAAATAATGTGAAAAAAATAAGATTAAAAATAATAATCGTGTTAGCTGTAATACAGTTACCTAACAATATTCTTAGAATACGGTTTAGTGATATCATGAGCATATTCAAGTGGGAAATGTAGATCATTTAATATCAACTCAGTGGTTTGAAGGATAAATACTTGTTGAGAGAAATTATGGTCTTGAGTTTGATCTGTTTTGTTTGTACACTACTGAATAGCTCAACAACTGTATAATGCTTTCTACTTTTTTGTGATTGTTTAACTAAGGTCAATCCCTGACATTAACTTCAAAATTCAACAAACTATAGCCACTCTATATAGTATTAATCAGTACACGTGGTGGACGGCAAACAAAAGAGTTAAGTACATCTGAAGGAACTGAATTTGTTGTAATTAAACAGGAAAACATTTTTCGCATGTTAGGGTTTAGTACATTGTCCATTATAAAAATTAAAACTCCCGTATTATACACATCAACTTTGCACTAAAAATGACTAAACTTAATGGCGATCCGAATGTTATAACAAATGCCCCATGTGTAAAGACTGATATTACTAATGGAGTTCATCAACCAATATTTAGTAAAATGAATTCGATAATAATCATTAGTTTGAGTGAAGGATCAATTAATAGCTCAGTTACAGCTACTTAAATGATATATACGACATATAATACATATATTTGCATTACTTTTAATTAAATACACCGACTATTATAGGGTGGATGAACTACAGCAATCAGTGGGATCTAGGAAGCTTGTCTAGTACAATTACGGATTCGTTGTATCAATGCTACCACAATCAAGTATTAATGTTTACAGTGGGACTCGAACTTAATAACTTTCATTCAAACCTCTAGACACTACTGAGTCTTACTCAGTCCTGGATTTCATTGATACATATTTATTACAAATTTAATGGTCCGGGATCTGACTCCAATTAGATCGCATGAATGATCGCTGTCGAAATATATATTGTCAATCCTCGTATATAATCATCGACTTAACTCGCATTAGTGAATAACGGAATTCAATAAGTCGAATATGAGAATGGATTTTTGAATACGTATGCTTTGTACAATCATTGGTCTAAAGAGACTATCAGAGGAACAAAGCGAAGGGAAGAGAGCGAATCGAAACGATGCTCGGTGGAGAAAACGAATGAGCCAACTCGATGGAATCAAGCGTTAATCAATATTTATAGTCACACAATGATAAGCTACAGACGTGTGATGAGTACGCTTACATAAAAACAATCAAGGTTGATAAATGAATAATTACCTACTTACTTACTTACTTTCACCTGTTACTCCTCGTGAAGGAGCATAGGCCGCTTACCAGCATTCTCCATCCAACCCTGTCCTGGGCAATCCTTTCCACTCTTCCCAGTTCTTATTCATCCCTTTCATATCCGCTTCTATTTCCCGACGTAATGAATAGTTAATAAGGTCAAAATGTAACTCAAGAAAAATGGATAAATTGACCAGCCAAGAAGCTAGTAGAAGTTATATGAGCTTAAAATAGTAACCTGTAGTGTCGGTTGACATGTTAAGCCCATATACCTTATTCTAGCTTTCGGACAGGCCATCTACTCATTCTACTTGAATCATATTTTGACCTTGTTAATTATTCGCTCATCAACCTTCACGGTTTTTATATAAGCGTATCATGTATGTGCTCTTCTTATGCTATTTATCACATATCTGTAGCCTATTTTTATGTGACTACAAATATTGATTAACGCTTGATTCAATCGAGTTGGCTTACCCACCATTTCCACTGCGCGTCGTTTCTCTTCACTCTCTTCCATTCGCTTCTCCGATATTTTGTCTGGATCAAAGATTGCATGAAATATATGTAATCGCAATTCATTCTCGTATTTGACTTATTTAATTCCGTTATTCACTAACGCGATTTAAGTCGATGATTATATAGGTGGATAGACGACATATATATTTCAATAACAATCATTCGGACGATCAAATTGGAGTCAGATCCCAAGCCACTAAAGTGGAGACCCCATCAACAATATCATCCAATTTAAATGACGACAAAATAAAGGGTCCCATTAAAAATCGACACTAGACATATATTACTGACATTTCTATCTACTCAGTCTATAAAAGTTAAACTTAAAACCCTTTTTATGATTCTATTAGTATTTGTACAACAATAATTCAGTTATTTCACTTGGCATTGTTTTACTTGAATCTTCCCATTGATGTTTATGACTGCAATTGATCAGTCTCTTATTGGCATATGTGCATACTGTGAGTATTGCCTCGATATTGCCTTAATTTACAAGCATTATAAGCAAATATAGATAGTGGCCAGCATCCGAATCCAGGACGCGCGTTTCGTCCTATTTGGGACTCGTCAGCTGAATGTACCTGCATCTCACAGTTGATGTTCACTCTGGGACTCGAACTCAATACCATTCGCTTCAAACGCCATCACGTTATCCACTTAACTACTGAGTCCTAATAGCCACTTGCTTGTGCAATGGGGTGAACGGTACTGGGTTTGAGTTTCATCAACTCTGACATGCAGATACGTCCGGCTGACAAGTCTCAAATAGAATGAAACACGCATCCTGGATACCAACTTATGGCATTATCCATCTTTTCTTAATAATTCAGTTATATCCAACTAACTATCATCAATGTTTACAATTTTGAAAACTTTACAATTCTATTACAGAAAAATAAATATTTATAAATTTAACCAGCTGTGTTTATTCAGTAGATTATTATCTGTTTTCATACTTATATTAAAGAAAATAATTTAACTAATTTATTTCTTTAAATATACATGGATAATTTTCAAAGTGATTTTTAAGTAACAAAAGTGATTATGTCATTAATTATTTAAATAAAACTTTTCTATGTAAATAGAATAGTTCAATGAAAGATGAATATTTAACATTGAACAAAATATTTTGACCAACTGTTTTAACATCTATTTAAGTTGATATATTTTCCGATACTTTCAATATCATGTTTTTGTATGTGTGAGTGTGCAAATGCGTGTACATACATTTGTGTTATGTAATCTTCAAATTCATTGATTAACATAAATCAGATTATGTATAGGCTGCCCATTAGGATTCATAAACCAGCTTTATCTTGAACTGTTCTTCTAAGTTGTTTCCAAGTGTTATTTATTCTTTTGATATCTGGTTCAGTTTCTGGTACAATATGTTTTTTTGGTCTTCCTCTTTTCTCCAATTTAAGGTTTGGCCTGTGGTGCAGTTTGGTGGTTTCTACAATGTATTTGTCATCCATCTCTAATGTCTTTCTCTAATTTCCTCTTTATCTGGAAGCTTATTTGTTACCTTCCACAGTAGGTTGTTATTGATGGTGCCTGGTTAACGGATCTCGAGTGTCTTGCGTAGACAACTGTTTATAAAAACCTACACTTTTTTGATGATTATTGTAGCCGTTCTTGCATAATAGAATCGCATTTAAGTTTGTATTGGAAATTCTGACTTTGATGTTGGTTGAAAGTTATTTTGAGTTTCAGATATTCTTCAGTTATAGGAAAGCTGAGCTTACTTCGATAATTCATGGCTCTATATCTGCATCAAATCCATTTTGCTTATCAATGATAGCGAACAGTTACATAAAAGCACAAATGTCTTGCAGAGCTTCTCTGCCATTAACAACTTGATTGGTCTTTGCTAAATTATATTTTTAAGATTTTTGTTCCTGCTTACTAATCTCTAGAAGATGTGGAGTCTTTCACGTAACTGGTCAGAAGCATCATC